GAAGCCACCCTCCATGGATGGAAGAAGGAGTAGGATGAGAAGACCCAAGGTTGGGGGGGGGAAAGGTTGAAACCAAGGAATGGGTGGATAGGGAGGATGAGGTGAAGGGGAAGGATGAGAGGAAGGGGGAAGGATGTAAGATGGAGAAGTCCTAGAGTTGAGAAGAAGGGGAAGGATGCAAGAAGGTGGTGTGGGTGGGGAATAGGGGGAAAGGGGTGGGGGGGTTTGGATGAAGATGAAGAAGAAGAAGTAGGATGAAAAGAAGAATAATTCCAAGCCGGCAAAAAGTGTCTGGATCTCTATACTGATATGGACTGGATAATGTGTTAGGAATGTAAGGATGCCCCATCATTTGATGGAAATGAAAATTATTGACCTACAGAGGACTAAAAACAAAAACACCCCAAAAATCAAGAAAAAAATGATACAGCAGGCGAATCCATTTTACCGAAATGTAATTGCAGCAACTCAGAATGGTCCTCAGTAGTTTGTATGGCCCCCAAGTGCTTGTATGCATGCCTGACAATGTTGGGCCATGCTCCTAATGAGATGGAAGATGGTGTCCTGGGGGATTTTCTCCCAGATCTGGACCAGGGCATCACAGTGCTCCTGGACAGTCTGAGGTGCAACAGGGTGGCATCGGATGGACTGAAACATCACATCCCAGAGGTGTTCTATTGGATTTAGGTCAGGCCAGCATGGGGGCCATTCAGTGGTATTAATTCCTTCATCCTCCAGAAACTTCCTGTACACTTTTGCCACATGAGGCTGGGCATTGTCATGCACCAGGAGGAACCCAGGACCCACTGCACCAGGAGGAACCCAGGACTCACTGCACCAGTGTAGGGTCTGACAATGGGTCCAATGATTTCATCCCGTTACCTAATGGCAGTCAGGGTGCCATTGTCTAGCCTGTAGAGGTCTGTGCATCCCTCCATGGATATGCCTCCTCAGACCATCACTGACCCACCACCAAAACGGTCATGCTAAATGATGTTACAGGCAGCAGAATGTTCTCCAGAACCTTTCATGTCTGTCACATGTGCTCAGGGGGAACCTGCTCTCATCTGTGAAAAGCACAAGGGTGCCAGTGGTGGACCTGCCAATTCTAATGTTCAATGGCAAATTCCAATGGAGCTCTATGGTGCCAGGCAGTGAGCACAGGGCCCACTAGAGGATGTCAGGCCCTCAGGCCACTATCATAAAGTCTGTTTCTGATTGTTTGATCAGAGACATACACACCAGTGGCCTACTGGAGGTCATTTTTGTCAGGCTCTGGCAGTGCTCATCCTGTTCCTCCTTGCACAAAGGAGCAGATACAGTTCTGCTGGTGGGTTAAGAAACTTCTTTGGCCATGTCCAGCTCTCTTAGAGTAACTGCCTGTCTCCTGGAATCTCCTCTGTGCTCTCTTCTCCTAGAATCTCCTCCGTGCTCTCTTCTCCTAGAATCTCCTCCGTGCTCTCGTCTCCTGGAATCACCTCCGTGCTCTCGTCTCCTGGAATCTCCTCTGAAAAGATCGTCTCCTGGAATCTCCTCCGTGCTCTCGTCTCCTGGAATCTCCTCCATGCTCTTGAGATTGTGCTGGGAGACACAGCAAACCTTCTGGCAATGGCACGTATTGATGTGCCATCCTGGAGGAGTTGGACTGCCTGTGCAACCTCTGTAGGGTCCAGGTATGACCTCATGCTACCAGTAGTGACACTGACCCTAGCCAAATGCAAAACTAGTGAAGAACAGTCAGAAAAGATGAGTAGGGAAAAAAATGTCAGTGGCCTCCACCTGTAAATTCCTGTTTTGAAGGTTGTCTCATTGTTGCCCATCTAGAGCACCTGTTGTTAATTTCATTAACACCAAAGCAGCTGAAACTGATGAACAGCCCCCTCTGCGACTTACCTGACCAGATCCATATCCCAGGAGTTTAATTGGCTTGATGCTAGACTCAGGATTAAGTCTCCCTTTCACATTGACTTGAGCCTTCCCAGGATGCTGATGCTAGACTCTAAGTCTCCCTTTCATTTTTTTTGAGCCGTGTATTATGAATGCTAACTCTACAAAGCTGCAGATCTGTGAGAGTTCTTTTCTGGATTCTTCTGTTTATAGATTACTGAGACCTTTACAGTAAAGATGTGCATTTCCTCATGTAATGTTCTATTTGTGTGTTTTGTTTTTTATGTTGGTTGGACTGGATGGATTGGTGTCTTTTTTCCATCCAGATGAACTCTGTAACTATGTAACAAGGTGACTCCAGTAACACTGCTGAGACTCATTTCGTTTTTGGTGAAAAGGTACAAAAAGAAACCTCCCTGTTTCCATATATTTCAGATTATGAAAAGACGTGATGGGGATAAAATACCAGATTGTCTCATAAGAATGTAGGAAGTATATTATGGTATGTTTGCTGATTTGTAATCCCATGATATATATTTAGTGTGTTGGAGTTTATCGGTATTGTTAGGAATATTGTATGCATGCTACCAAAGCCGTAATCAATCAGTAGATCAGTATACAAATTATTCTTTTATTATCTCTCCTCTGTGTGTACAACTATTATTCTAATTGCTTTATGTAATCCAACCTCCTGATAGTTACAATTCTCCATTTAATCACTGTTACACCAAAACGTAATGATTGTAAATGAGGAATAATATCTACTCTCCAAGGCATTCTATAGATTTCACAAGGGCCAATTTTGTTATAGTGAAATATTCATTTTTCCCGATCACAGATTAGTTACTTCTGTCCCCAAATAAACTCAGACCAGACAATTCTTATCCAAGGATGACACCAGTGGCCATGGGAGGTAATGCTTGAGTAAACATGGGTTAGAGAATCAGATTCCCCAATCACAGAGAAGGTTCCACCTCCTGGCCAGGTTTATTCAGATTTGATGAGTCTATTAGTCATAACTAGATAAAACCGGCAGGAAAACTCACAGAGGGAGGACCATCTACACAGCCATCTGGAAGGTAGACATCATCTCACACTCAGATCATCTAAAGACACTTCATCATCAACTGAAGAAGAGACGCCATTTTGTAGAAGCTCAAACCCCAACCATTAATCAGCAGCCATCTTTGAGTCTGATCATCAGTTCTCTAAAAGATGACCTGATACTTGGAGGGGTAATTATATATTTTCTGTTGATTTTGCTTGTTTAGACTAGTAAGTCAATTGCCAATTGCCACATTCCTTTGTGTAACCTAATAACTCTCTCCCCCCATGATAACATCACTTCAAGTTAAGTCATTTATAAAAATGTTCCTGTTCTTAGGCCATACTGGTGGACTATTCTGCATAGTTTATTCCTTCTGCAGGAGACAGATTATTGTCCGTTTTTCATTGGTTATGTTGTTTTACAGGGAGACTGATTATTGAATTTAATTCACTCTATTTTAGAGCTTTTACAGAAACATCTTAGTGTCAGTGTAAATCACAATCTGACTATTATTTATGGTGTTTGTAAGTGACTTATGTAAATAAATATTGATTTTCATACTCTGCAGTCTATACCCACACAGATCTTGTTTGAGTTCTTAAAGAATTTTTCAGATTAATTAAGTCAAAAATTATTTTTGTAAATCTCATTTTTTGTATTGGAGACACTGTGATTTGATTGATTTATCTGACTAAATCAATTGTTTCGGGTGTTCCCTGACAATTTGGACACTAGATGGTGCTAATTGCTAGGATACTTAGCGTCATCTAAAAACCAATTGAGGTATTTTTGGTTAAAATCAATGGATGGTTTAATTCTGTGGTTTTATGTAATTTATGTCTTCAATGTCTACTGTACTTGAAAATGTATGAGTGTGATCTCAGGTATTTGTATGAAACCACCCCTGACACAGTAAACTAAGGGGTCTATGCAAAAAATATGTTGGGGGAGTGTGACAAGCATGTGTCCAGCCGTGACAAATTCTGGCTGTATTTTAATAAAGTCAGTGACTTCCTATAATCATCAGCTCCCTCTAGCGGCCATAATAATGTATTACTTCCAAAAATGCCTCAATCAGGAAAAACAGTTCAATACCACATTATGGCCACTAGATGGAGCCAATGATCATAGGAAATCACTGTATGAAAAGACCAACACATGGGACATGGCTGAATGAATGCTGGTCATATTAGTTCATCTATTCTGGGGTATCTATTGGGCCAATCCCTTTTACAAACCACACATAATATCGCCCTTCAAAGTGAAAACAGAAACAATTTGCACAAAATCAAAGAGTAAAAATATTTTCCGGTGGATCCCCTCTACCCAGACCCCATATGTAGACATAGAACAACAAGCTGTGTCGTGCCGCACTCCTCCAACCACCCAAACCCACACAGAAGCAAAGGGAAATAATGAGAGGAAAGTTCCCCCCTAGTTTGGGGCGGAGTTCTCCTTCCCTCCTGTTGGGGGATGGGAGAAGGATGGACTGAAGACAGAGAGACGCTTCGGGGTCACCACTGTTCTGTAGAGCCTTGAAATGAAGGACATCAACTTCAGAAGTTCTTGTTGTCTGTGTAAAGTTCCCCGATAACGAGATCTGGGCTCTCCCGGCTTCTAGCTCTGTAACCCGCTATATCATTATCAGGAAACGCAACTCCGACACCCAAGAAGGGCTGAAGTTGTGTGTCCTTCATTTCCAGGATCTACTGACCACTCTGCACCCCGACATTTACTGCACTTCATCCATATCTTTTGGGGACCTCTGATCTCCTTATCAACTGTTTTCTGCCATGATGAAGATCAGCCATGGAGTATATCTGAGGTGTATATCAGGGTGTGCTTCTTCCCCACATCAGAGCTGGGATGTCCAGCAACATTCATCTAGAAGACATTTCCCACACTCAAGGCACTAATATACCTCCAGGGTTGTGTGGGACCCCTGGTGTATGGGGAAGACAGGACTTCAGTGTGAGGAACATTTCCCTCACTCAGGACAGGAAAGCAGCTTCTCCCGTGTGATACCTTTGATGTTTGGAAAGACTGTACTTCTCTGAGAAACATTTCACACACTCAGGATAGAAATACGGCTTCTCCCCGTGTGGCATCTCTGATGTGCAATAAGATTGGACTTGTCTGAAAAACATTTCCCGCACTCAGACAGGAATATGGCTTCTCCCTGTGTGAGATCTCTGGTGGGTGTAAAGATGGGACTTCTGTGAAAAACATTTCCGGCACTCAGGACAGGAATACGGTTTCTCCCCCGTGTGTGAGATCTCTGACTTGTCTGAAAAACATTTGTAAAGAACGGACTTCTGTGAGATCTCTGATGTGTGTAAAAAAAACATTTCCCGCACTCAGGACAGGAATACGGCTTCTCCCCCGTGTGAGATCTCTGATGTGTGTAAAGATTGGACTTCGTGAAAAACATTTCCCGCACTCAGGACAGGAATACGGCTTTTCCCCCCGTGTGAGAGATCTCTGATGTGTGTAAAAGATCGGACTTCTGTGAAAAACATTTCCCACACTCAGGACAAGAATAGAGCTTCTCCCCCGTGTGAGATCTCTGATGTGTGTAAAGATGGACTTCTGTGAAAAACATTTCCCGCACTCAGGACAGGAATATGGCTTCTCCCCTGTGTGAGATCTCTGGTGTGTGTAAAGATGGGACTTCCGTGAAAAAACATTTCCCGCACTCAGGACAGGAATACGGTTTATACGGTTTTCTCCTCCCCCGTGTGAGATCTCTGATGTTTGTAAAGAACGGACTTCCGTGAAAAACATTTCCCGCACTCAGGACAGGATACGGCTTTTCCCCCGTGTGAGATCTCTGATGTGTGTAAAGATTGGACTTCCGTGAAAAACATTTCCCGCACTCAGGACAGGAATACGGCTTTTCCCCCGTGTGAGATCTCTGATGTATGTAAAGATCGGACTTCCATGAAAAACATTTCCCGCACTCAGGACAGGAGAAGTTCTTCCCTGTTGGAAGGCCAGCCCAATCCCGCACAGTCTGAGGTTCCTCAGGATACGAAGAATCCGATGGTCCATCTACACTGGGTGGTGCCGGATGGACATTGGAGGGAGCCGAGTTTTCTCCTGGACTATACTGTGTGATGTCCCTCTTCTACTTTCCAGTCTGGAGACAAAGTGAGACAATCCTCGGAGGTTTTCCTCATCTCCCGGCCATGGACTAAAAAGTACAAAGACAAAGAGGATTACTAGACAGGAGCTGATTGGTTTCCCCCAAACCAGGACTCCACCCCATCCATCAGGCAGGATGGGGAACATAGCTCAGGAAAGTGACCAGGGGATTACAGGCTGATATCACCCAGTCCCCGCCCTACTCTGGACCAATCAGTGAGCAGTATGGGTGGAGGAATGGATTTAGTGTTCATGACCCACCTGTGCTGATCTCTGTAGGAGTGTCTCTCCTATAAATATCCCCGTTATTCCATCTTCCTCCATAGACTGCTGATCATCCCTCACATACATACGCCTCTTCTTCTTCTGCTTGAACCTCAAATTCTGTATCGATTGGATCTCCACTCTAAATCAAGGAAATGAGAGAAAATATCATCTGTAAAATATAAGGTCACATAAAAAATATCCACACATCATCTCCACAAGTCCATGTTCTAGATTCTCCATCCCACCAACCTTGTAATGGTGAGGGATGGTGTGATCTTCCTGTGTGGAATCCCGGGAATATACAGAGGACGGGGACATCTCTCTGGTGGGTTCCCATGACTGGATCCATCTGTAGGAAACACACACACTGACTGAATCCATTGTTTCTATGTGTTTATCAGATGATGGGGGATCTAGGTGGATCCTCCGTACTGCTCTCTCCTTTACAATAAAGTCTCCTCTTACCCGGTGATGTGAGGGGCGGCTGATTGTCCATCATGACGTCCTTGTAGAGATCCTTGTGTCCTTCTAAATACTCCCACTCCTCCATGGAGAAATAGACAGTGACACCCTGACACCTTATAGGAACCTGACACACACAATGATACAGTCACCATCCAGACACATCCCTTGTCTGTTACTGGAGAATGTCCCAGAATTCCCGGCACCGCTCACCTCTCCTGTCAGCAGCTCCATCATCTTCTTGGTGACTTCTAGAATCTTCTGCATGTTGTGTCTCTCAGGGTTTAGGGAGTCATATGGAGGCACTGTGATGGTCATATGATCACCTGACTTCAATCTCTGTATTGAGGAACCAATAGGAATATCATGTTAGAATCCCAGAATCCTCCTCACCTCTCCGGTCAGGTCTGTGTTTTATTAATAGAGATGAGAGTGATGTCATGTGACCTCCCAGAATCCTCCTCACCTCTCCGGTCAGCAGGTAGATGATCTCCAGGGTGAGGTTTAGTATCTTCTCAGTCATGTGACTCCGGTCCTCCTCCATCCTCATTGGTGCCATCATGTGATCTATACAGGTCTCATTGTAGACGGATAACTTTGGGAAATGAAAGTAAGAATGATTATTATTTATTTATTTATTACATGGAGTTTATATAGCGCCAAAGGGTTTGCTCAGCGCTGTACAATAGGGGGGACAATACATGGCACAGTACAACAAAAAACAGACAGCACGTACGAGGGGGTAAGAGGGCCCTACTCTTTCAAGCTTACAATCTAGGAGGGAGGGGGTAATGGTACAGTAGGAAGTGGCTGAGGGGGATGAAGTGGTGGGAGGAATGAGGGAGGATGGCCGTTAGGTGGGGTAGGCTTCCCTGAAGAGATGGGTTTTGAGGGAGCGCCTGAATGTGGGGAGGGAAGGCGACAGTCGGATGGATTGGGGCAGTGAGTTCCAGAGGATAGGGGAGGACCTGGAGAAGTCCTGCAGTCGTGCATGGGAGGAGGAGACCAGGGAGCAGGATAGAAGGAGGTCCTGTGAGGAGCTAAGGGTACGGGTAGGGTGGTACTTGGGGATCAGGTTGGTGAGGTAGTCAGGGGCAGTGTTATGAACGGCTTTGTAGGTCAGGATTAGAAGGTTAAATTTGATGCGTTGGGGCAATCGGGAGCCAGTGGAGGGAGAGGCAGAGGGGGGTGGCAGAGGTGGAGCGGGTGGTGAGGTGGATGAGTCTGGCCGCTGAGTTCAGGATGGTCTGGAGCGGGGGGAGAGCCTGCACTTGGGTAGGCCGGTGAGGAGGGAGTTGCAGTAGTCAAGGCGTGAGATGATGAGGGAGTGTACAAGAAGTTTGGTGGTGTCTGGGGTGAGGAAGGTACGTATCTTGGCAATATTGCGGAGATGGAGCCTGCATGTTTTTGCAAGTGATTTGACATGAGGGAGGAAGGAGAGGTTCGAGTCAAGAATGACGCCAAGGACTTTGGCTTGCGGGGGGGGCGGGAATGATAGTGGTGTGTGGTGGTGGTGATGGATAGGCTGGGGGGGGGGGGGGGGGGTGTGGGCAGGGGGAAAGATGAGGAGTTTGGTTTTGGAGAGGTTGAGCTTGAGGAAATGTAGCGACATCCAGTCTGAGATGTCGTTTAGGAGGTGAGTGATGCGGGCGGAGATAGTGGGGGTGAGGTGGGGGGTGGAGAGGTAGATTTGGGTGTCGTCAGCATAGAGGTGATAATTGAAGCCATGGGAGTGTATGAGTGTGCCCAGGGAGGAGGTGTAGATGGAGAAGAGAAGGGGTCCAAGGACAGAGCCTTGGGGGACCCCAACAGAGAGGGGGAGGGAGGGGGAGGTGGTACCATTGTAGGTGACGCTGAAGGAGCGTCGGGATAGGTAGGATGAGAACCAGGAGAGAGCGGTATCTCTGATGCCAAGGGAGAGTAGTTTATTAAGGAGGAGGGGGTGGTCGACTGTGTCGAAGGCCGCAGAGAGGTCCAGGAGAAGGAGGACAGAGTAGTCGCCCTTGGCTTTGGCGTTTAGTAGGTCGTTAGTGATTTTGAGGAGGGCAGTTTCGGTGGAGTGTAGGGGACGGAAGCCGGACTGTAATGGGTCAAGGAGGTTATTGTCAATAAGGTGGGCGCTTAGGCGATCGTAGACTATGCGCTCAAGGAGCTAGGAGGTGAGTGGCAGCAGGGAGATGGGTCTGAGGTTGTTGGGGTCCGCGGGATCCAGGGAGGGCTTTTTGAGGAAGGGGGTGATATGTGCGTGCTTTAGGGGGGAGGGGAATGCACCAGTAGAGAGGGAGAGATTGAAGATGTGGTTAAGGGAGCGGATGAGGGAAGAGCGGGGTGACCGGAGGAGTTGAGAGGGGATAGGGTCCAGGGGGCAGGTAGTGAGGCGGGCTTCTGAGAGGACCTTGACGACTTCCTCAGTAGTGACAGGGCTGAGGGAGTGCAGTGCAGGGGGGGTTACGGTGGGCGGGGCCTTGGGAGAGGTGGAGGGCAGTGCGGTTGTGAGGGCAGAGGAGGGGGGAGAAGAAGGGGTGATGGGGGTGGGGAGGCTAGGTGGGGAGGTATATTGCGAGTTGACAATGTCCTTATGGATAGCGTCAATCTTGTTACAGAAATGGGTGGCAATCTCGTGGGCGGTGAGTGAGGTACTGAGTGTGGAGGGGGGGGGAGAGAGCAGGGAGTTGAAGGTGGAGAAGAGTCAGTGGGGGCAGGAGGAGAGGGTGTTGATTAGGTTAACAAAGTAGGCCTGCTTGGCGGCGTGGAGGGAGGAGGTGTAAGTGAGGAAGGCAGATTTGTAGAGGGAGAATGCGTGAGGGGGCCTGGTTTTGCGCCACAGTCTCTCCAGAGCGCGACTGCGACGTTGAGAGGCGTTTAGTGCTGTCATTCTGCCATGGTTGAAGCAGTCTGGGTTTGATGTTGCGTGTGGTTAGGGGTGCCAGAGAGTCTAGGGCAGCTGACAGTGAGTCGTTGTACAAGGTGGTGGCTATGGGACATGACAGTGGGAGGATGCTGTCATGTAGGCGGTCGGCGGCTGAGTGGAGGGGGGCCGGGTTCAGGTTGCGGAGATTGCGGCTGGTGATGGTTTGGCATTTTTGGGGGGGGGGGGGGGGAAGGGGAGATGGAGAACGTGATGAGGTGGTGGTCAGAGAGAGGGAAGGGGGTGTTAGAGAACTGGTTGAGGGTACAGAGGTGGGAAAAGACGAGGTCCAGGGTGTTCCCTCCGATGTGGGTGGAGGATTGAGTGTGCTGTGTGAGCGCGAAGAGGAGGTTAGGTGGAGGAATTGGGAAGTAGCCGGGGTGTTGTCGTTGATGGGGATGTTGAAGTCCCCGAGGATGATGGTCGGTAGCTCAGAGGAGAGGAAGAAGGGGAGCCAGGCGGCGAAGTCATCCAGGAAGCGGGCTATGGATCCCAGGAGGCCTGTAGATCGCTGCGATCCTTAGGGGGGGTGGGTGAGAAGAGTCGGATGCAGTGCGCCTCAAAGGAGGGGAAGGATAGAGAGGGTGGGTTAGGGAGGACCTGGAAGGTGCTAAGCGGTGACAGGAGCAAGCCGACACCACCACCTCTGCGATCGCTCAGTCTTGGTGAATGGGTCCAGATGAGACCTCCATGGGTGAGTGCCGCAGGGGAAGTGGAGTCAGTGGCCTGTACCCAGGTTTCGGTGATGGCTAGGAGGTTGAGGGAGCGAGAGATGAAGAGGTCATGGATGGCGGTAAGCTTATTGCAAACCGAACGGGCATTCAGGAGTGCAACCGAGAGAGGGGGGATAGGTATGGGGAGGAGGGGTACATGTATGAGGTTGAGGGGGTCGCGTCGGCTGGATCGAGTGGAGTGAGCAGGGGGGGCTCTAGGGGGGGTGTGAGGTGGTGAGGGGCCAGGGTTTGGGGAGATGTCCCCAGCTGAAATGAGAAGGAGGGTGAGGAAGGTGGCGTGGGAGCGGGAGGTGTAGGAGCGCTTGGGTCTGAAAGTGGTGGCAAGTGGGTCAGCGGGGGGGAAGTGGAGTAGCAGGAGGAGGTGGTGGGTTGCCATAGTGGGAGAGAGGGGAGAAGTGAGGGTGATTGTAGGCTTTCCTTCCGTTCCCTCTTGAATTCCTCACTTATTTTTTCAATGTTGGGAAAGATCTGGATCCTCCACCAAGTGGGTTGATCTTTTCTCGGGCATACTTATCGAATGTTTTAATAAGCAAAAAAAAAAAAAAAAAAAAATGCTGATTTCTTTTCCAAGAGCTTTCCCAACTCAAAAACCAGCGAATATTTCTGTTCTCAGTTTGTTCCTTCTGGGAAAAGTCTGTCTGATAAGAAGACATGAAATGTAGCCATTCTTGACCTCGGAACTCACTGATATTGATGGATCCACAATCCCATTCCAACAAATGTAACACTTCAGTGTGGCAGAGGATGTGCACTGTACCAGAGGGGAACATGTAAAATTAGTATTCTGTGTAATGTGAGTACAACGGGATGATTCGCGTTCCCTTCATTGTTATATTTAATAAAAGCTCTTTTTCTTATTATCTATCGCTTTTGTACAACTTTGGGCCGTATAGCACATTAGGTTGGAATTTGTTAGCCTTTTATACTTGTTGCCCATGGGAATTATATTTTGCAATGTGTGGTCACATACAGTCTTTTTGAAATGAACATCCCATTTCTGTGTTGATGTTCATTCGATGCCAAATATTTCTCTCCAGTCTAAGTTCTTGGAGGAAGCAGTTCTCAGCCTTGGAATATTTAGGCTCTTCTTAAAGTTGAGCAATTTTTATCATATGTGATCTAACTATTTACAGCTAACCATTAAATGAAATTCATGTTATGGTCACGGCTACCAGATGTTCTTTTATATGGGACAT